AGAGCCAGCAGTGGCCACCGGGGCCCCTGACCCAGTGGCCCCAAAACATGAGCCAGCAAGCCACTGGCAGCCAGCCCTCCACCACTCCCCAGGAGCAGTCTGCCAGCTCCCAGGAGCTTGACAGGGGCCAGAGAAGGCGAGTACCTTCCTGGTCCAGGGTGGAGATCATGGACCTTCTTCATGTTTGGGAGGGATGCCCCCAACGTCCATGATCTTCACGCTAGGCAGAGGAACACGGCCATCTATGGTAGGATAGCTGCCAGCTTGGCCACCAAAGGCCATATGAGAACCCAGGAGCAGGTTTGCATGAAAGCCAGGTTGGTAGCTATTGCTCCTACCCACTCTCCTTCCTACTTCTTCCTCTTCCTCCCCCCACACCCACCAAACCCTCCATACTCTCTCACCACCAGGGATGCTGAGGCCCCCACACCCACAGTGCTGGGAGACAGGTGGGCTGGCAAGACCTCCAACCCTGAGCTTCTCCTCCCCCTTGCTCCTCCTTCCAGCTCCCTCCTCCCACGTTTCCCCCTCCCCTCTTCCACCCTCTCTCTTCCCCTCTCCCACCTCCTTTTCCCAGTCTCCCCAGAGGTCCATCCCCACCCCCCAGTTTTGTTCAATAAACCCAGTTTCTATTTTTTAACATACTTTATTTGACATCAGGAAGGGGGGTTAGGAAGGGGTAAGTGGAAGGACATGAGGGAGGAATGGGGCACGAGCCCCTGGTGGGGAGGACCAGGGAGGCTGTGAGGGCTCCTCAGGGTGGATGATCTCCCTCAGGATCTCCTGGATCCTGACAGCCCCCCGATGGACAGCCCCCCGGGGTGGGGTTAGGGTCCTTTTAAGCATGGAGCTCAGTTAGCCTCAGGCAGCAGCCCCACACACTAAGTCCTAACCTGGTGCCCTGCTGGCATGCTATTTCAAAATAGTTTTTGTGTATAGATGCGTTTTTTCAAATTAGCTTAATTCGAATTAACTATTAGAATTAAGTGAATTCGAAATATTGCTGTAGTGTAGACATACCCTAAGGGTGTGCTGGCACTACACTGTAGGTCAAAATAAAATAAGCAATTTGAGCAACACAAATTGCGTATCTTATTCCAAACTAATTTTGAAATAGCTTATTTTGTATTTTGAAATAACCCACTCAGTAGTATAGTAAGGGGATAATGGGGGAGGGGCAGTTGCCCCTGGGTGCCAGGCTAGGGGGATGTCAGTTTGGTTTCTCTCCACTCCCCCTGTCATCCCTCGGCTTGCCTGCTTCTCCTGCGCCCCTCGCCATCTCCGCCAGTGGGTTAGTGTGTGCGGGGGCTCAGCCTCAAACTGGAGGGAGTGGGGGAAGATGCAGTACAAGCTCTGCCCCCTCCTCCCAGGGTCAGGCTTAGCCATGCACCAGGTTCAGGGACCCACCCTTGCCCCCGGGCACATAACACCTTCGCTATGCCTCTCAACTCGCTATTCCAAAACATCCCTTAATCCTCATGGAACAAGGTTTACAGGGACGTCGGAATAGCAAGCCCATTTTATTTAGAAATAACGTGTGTGTTCAAAAGATGCAGAATAGCTATTTCAGGATAGATGTATTTCAGTGTAGACTTAGCCTGGCTGGCCCTGCACTTGCTGCCTCCAGTGGTGACTGTGAGTATTGCATCCCTCTGTTCAGCTCCCTCCCTTTCCATGTTCCTTCTAGTTCTATCATTCTATGATGCACTGCAACAATCAGCTGGAGTGTGGCTGAGTAATTATCATGAGGAAGCAATTGGGGGAAGGAAGCTGTGGGTTAGCAGCTCTTCCTATATTAACATGTTGCCTGTGGTGTGTGCACCACTGCATAGTCACTGTTAGCAGTATGAGCCTGTGCACACATCCTGACACCTATACTGCACGCAAACCTTTTGGAAATCCTGCCTCCACTGAAGCCAATGAAAACTCCCAATATTTCACTCCTTGCCTGTCTTCCTTCCCGTTTGGGAGGCCCATGGTTGGGAGGGTTACTAGTGGATTGTGTTGGGGCTTCACTGGTAGGATCTGTCTCACAAGAGTCAATTGGCATGTAGGTAACGTTTCCTTTTCAAACCCACCTGGGGGATTTGACCATCTGGTTCACAGGAGTTTTAATGGGGACTTTGAAAACTTGAACATCTCTGCCTTGGTTGTTTGACTGACTGCAAAGGCTGGTGGGAAAAGCCCCTCTGTAATTGTATAGATTTTCAGGCCATGTGAAGTTTGGGAAGGATGCAGGAGAAGAAGCAGTGGGCTTAAATTGTAGCAAGGGAGGTGTAGGTTGGACACTGTCAGGGTGGTTAAACACTGGAATAAATTGCCTAGGTAGGTTGTGGAATCCCCATCACTGGTGATATTTAAGAGTCGGTTAGACAAACATCTGTGAGGCATAATATGTTTAGTCTTGACATCAGGCCAGGGAATTGGAGTTGATGGTCTTTCAAGGTCCCGTTCAGTTCTAGTACTCTATGATGCTATGTCTGTGTGCCCATGGGCAGGAGTGGCTTGAGGCTGGCTGCGGCAGCTGGCGCCCCAGGGAGAAGGCATGATCGGCGCCCTCTCCTGCATGGCCGTCAATGGCTGTGACGTCATCATTGGGTGCCCGGGCCGGCAGCACCCTAGACAACTGCCCAGTTTGCCTAGGCTCACGGGCCGCCCCTGCCCATGGGGACAGGGTCTTACTGGGTAGGCTCATTAGCAGGTGTGGGATGCAGCAGGCAGAAAGGGATAACAGACACATCCTGAAGACTGGGAACCCTGAATAAATCCTCATTCCAAGCTGATGGGTCCCTACCGAGCAGGAACAGGCAAACCAATCGCTCTTTGCTCTCACCTGACTTCGTCCTTAATAAAAGTGCAACTCACCTTGGCACTTCCTGGAAAATTCACTGAGGCATCTGGGGAGAGAATGGCAGTGACACGTCAGCACTTGGGTGTAAGGCATCTCCTGTAGCATGGAATTACTACCCCACACAGCTCCTAGCTCTCCCCCAAGCTTGGGTTGGGCTCAGCCTTGGGCAGTGCTGAGCACCAGGAAGCCTGACTGAGCAGGGTCTTTAGTTCCTACAGTAAGAGAAGGATTCCCTATGGCTGTTGAAGATGTTCCATGAGAACTGTCTTCCTGAGTTTCTGGCAGAGCGATTCTGTCACAGATTTGGCAAAAAAAAAACCCAGAATATTATCCAAAAACAAATGCCCCCAAACTGAAATAATTTGGCCCAAACCAGAAATATTTTGATTCAGATACCAGCATGGTGCCACATGGGATCTGTAGTTCAGTGGCTTCATGCAGATATTCTCATTTACAGGCTGGAGTGACTGACTGGGCTTCATCTCTCAGAATGCACTGCAACCAGGTACACCCATGACGTATTACTTTGCATCATAAAGAGGGGGAAATGGTGCATCATGGGAGAGCCAGCGAGCTTAGCTCCAAGGAGACACTAGTATCTTGAGCAGGGGCGGCCCATGCGTATAGGCCGACTCAACCGTTGCCTAGGGCGCCATGTTAAACAGGTGCCCAATGATGACATCACGCCGTTGAAGGCTGTGGAGGCAGGGACGCCGATCGCGCGTTCCGCCTGGGGCGCCAGCTGCCGGCAGCCCACCTCGGGCCGCCCCTGATCTTGAGGCATCTGAACTACAGCATGAGGCTCCCTTGCACCCAACTCCCAGTGACAAGGGGTGTAGCTTCTTGCCTAGAATGTGACCTTTCCATGAGGGAAGAGAAAGGGTAACACTTTGTCTCAGTCCCCTAAATTATCGTAGTGTGGGGCTAAGGATCAAAGAGAAAGGGCAGGGCAAAGGAATCTCAGGAGCTCAGATGCACAAGACATGAGACCCTGAGAATTCTCTCTCATTCACTTTGATCACAGGCAGTTTGATGTTGTAACTCTCCGCCAGACACACTGATCTGGGATCTGCTCATCCCCCACCAATTACCACATTTACCTCCAACCCCCACATTTCTCCCCATGTGCAGATGAAGCTGGTAACCCTAATGCTCTACAAAAGCTCTTACAGTGAAGATGATCTTCTGAAGCATTGCTGGTGTCATGCTGGACTCGTTCCCTGTGAGGAGTGGTAAGGACAGGGGGTGTCAGTGATGCCATGTGCTCTGAGGCTATGTCTACACTATTTGCGCAAGAGAGTGTCCACACTGTAAAAGTGCATCGAAAAAGCAATGTGATTTTGCAGAAGAGAGCATCCACGCTGAAAGAAAGTGCTAATTACTATTCACAGAATGGCCACCAGGACACACGTGCTTTTTTCAATAGGGTTTTTTTGTGCAAAAAGAGGCAGTTCTCCATCCATACACATATTTTTGCACAAGAGCTCTTGCACAGAAAGGAGTTATTCCTCGTATAAAAAAGGAATAATTCTTCCTCAAAAACCACCCGTTCTGTTGATTTACTTGCGCAAAAACGCGCTTGAGGTGTGGATGCTCCACAAATTTTTGTGCAAAAACTCTGCAGTCTAGATGAAGCCTTAGTGGAAAAGCACCAAGCTTTACTTCAGGATAATCAGGGAATGTGGCAGCTGCACCATTTATAGAGCCACAGTCAAGAAAGATGAGACTTGAATATCTGGTTCAGCTTCAGCAGACTGGCCAAAAAAACAGGCACCTTAAAGCCTATGATGTCAATTGGGAGTTTCAATGTGGGGAACCAGAAATCCCTGACATCTCAGGATAAAAGTTGAAAAGAACACTGTGCTTTTCACAAAGTTAGAATTGAGTGATATATTTCAACAGGATTTTTTTTATTCGTGAACAATATTTAAACAAAGTCAAATAATGGCCAATTTTTTTGATTCAATTAAATTTTCAGTTTAATAAATTTTATGGACATTTTGTTTTGTTTCAGTTTGATTTTTTTTTTGGAAACTCCACCCCCCCCTCTACACACACACACATTTTCTGTGGAAATTGTTGGACAAAAGTTTTAATCTGAATTTCTTTACCCAAATAAAACTGGACTTTTGGCTCAGGTTGGCTCATAATGTAGATTGGCTGATGGTTCATCATTAAAGCTTGACTTCAATATCTTTGAACAGTGTGGAAATTCAGCTTCAGATCCCAATTCTGGCCAAATCGGCTAATCAGCTGCCATGTCTCAGGAAGGCAGGGTGGGGGTGTTTGGGGGCAGAGACTAGTTATAGGACAGGAGGAGAGAGGAAATATTTGGGAGAGGCAGCTGCTCAGAATCTTACTGGTGTACGTGTGTTAGGGGGAAATGTAGGAGACTCAAGAAACACACTGCTGGAGATCGGGGAAAGGTCATATTACTGAGGGTTTGTGTGTCATGTCCCTCTTACCCCCACCAGTAGCTGTGCTGGGAACCCAGAGGCTATGTCTAGACTGGCATGATTTTCCACAAATGCTTTTAATGGAAAAGTTTTCCATTAAAAGCATTAGCAGAAAAGAGCGTCTAAATTGGCATGGATGCTTTTCTGCAAAAGCACTTTTTGTGTAAAAGCATTCATGCCAATCTAGACGCGCTTTTGCGCAAAAAAGCCCCGATCGCCATTTTCACGATCGGGGCTTTTTTGCACAAAACAAATCTGAGCTGTCTACACTGGCCCTTTTGCGCAAAAGCTTTGCGCAAAAGGACTTTTGCCCAAACAGGAACAGCATAGTATTTCCGCAAGAAGCACTGATTTCTTACATGAGATCGTCAGTGTTCTTGCGGAAATTCAAGCAGCCAGTGTAGACAGCTGGCAAGTTTTCCCGCAAAAGCAGATGCTTTTGCGGAAAAACTTGCCAGTCTAGACACAGGCAGACTGTACTGGACTCTGGCAGATCCTGGAAACTGTCTCTAGACTCCCCATGTGCCTATCCCTCTCTGGGCCCAGCTAGTCACCCCATGGACTCCCTGAACTCCCACCTGTCTCTCTCTGCCCCACTCCCAGGCAAGGCCAGCCCAGCCAAGGGCTGGCTGCTCCCACTATCATGCCTATTTGGGACACAGCTGTGTGATTTCCTGGAGTTCCTTTCAAGGCAATGTGCAGCTGATGACTCTTCTCCAAGCACTGGGGCCATGAGGCCAGCATGGGCCAAGCAGGGCCAAGAGGGGCCCCATGCCCCTCAGAATGGCTGCCACATACCCGGTGGGCTTTTGAAGAAACTGACTAGGAAGTCAGAGGGAGAGGGGAGCAGGAGTTGGGGGGTGCTAACTGTTGACCTACAGAGAGTGACTGATAGGACACAGTGTGAGGGGTCCCTGCAGGGTCTCTCTGTGTTGAGGATGTGGGAGGAGTCTCTCAGAATTTGCTGCCAGGGAGGTGGGCAGACAGTTTCCTGCAGGGTGGGGAGCAGCCTGGGCCCCAGAGAGCTGGATTCCCTGGGCCATGCAGCAGAGGGGATTGGCTCAGAGCCCCCTCTGCACAGTGTGTTTTTCACATGTTCAGTGCACTTTGAAGCCCCACGGGTGTGTCTGCTCCTCAGCTCTTCACAGGTGTGGGAGGGGGCGTGCTACAGCAGCCCCAGGCACAGACCTGCACCAAAATCAGGCTGCTGTGAGGAAACCAGTTGTGGGTGTTTTGGAGCAAGCCTGTCTGTGGGTACGCTGAAACCAGCTGCAGCCACTGGAGCTAGTATTGGTTGTTACCCACCACAGCTGGAGGGACTGGAGACCCTTGGTTCCCAGTCAGGCCTGGCCACTCACAGCCCCACCCCAGTGCTTGGGATCTGGCTGGGTCACTTGGTGTTGCTTTGTGGCCGACCAGAACCATCATTCCCTGAGTGACCTTCGTTCTTTCAGATACTGAGGGGCGATTTTCAAACATGCTAATCCTGCTGCTGAGGAATTCATTGGGAGCATGTCACTGTGACAAAACACTTCCTTAGAACATCTCCTGGTAACCCCCAGATCCCACCCCCAAATAGACTGAACACCTCTCTCTGCCCTCAGCAGGAGAGCTGAGCTCCACTGTGAGGCTGGAGCAGCCTAAAGACCTCCTATGAGGCAGAGAGAAGGGACCAAGAAAAGAAGGGAGACGGGTGAAGGAATAACTTCCTCTTACCTTTGATCCCTGGGCAGAGACACAACTGGAAGCACTGAAACAGAGTGTTCAGAGATGTGGACACAATTCATTGTCAGCACGGAGAGAGAGAGACGTAAATGAGCTACACGGCCCCAATTCCATATTGTGCTGACATAAAGACCTGTTCTCATGGCCTGTCCTGGCACTCTCCTGCACCCACCCCTCTAACTGGCCCGGGCGGTGGTGTGGCCACGTCTCTGCCAATCTCATTAAACAAAAAAATATTATCCTCATTTTGAGGGACAATGACCCAAGAAACCCATCCAAAATCAAGTCCCCTGGCTAATACAAAAGCACCCCATACGGATGTGGAAATCCCATGAGTTCTGAGCCAGACTTGATCTGGTTGGGGTGACTGGCGGCTGTGGAAGCTGGGGGCTGAGGATGCCGTGAGGAAAGGCTGCAGGGCAGAGCTGTGTCCAGAGCTCTGTGTCCAGAGTTGTTAGGGCCTGATGCAGGAAAGCCCCTACACACGGGCACAGGTGTAAGGCCCCTACCTGTCTGGAGGATGCCTTCCCAACCTGCAGCCTTAGTTAGTCCTGAACACTGACTGGGGATTTAGGGCCCTACAGTAACATGCCTACTAAATAACATACAGCACCTAGCACAGTGGGACTCTGATCTAGGATACCACTGAAACACAAATACTTAATCACAAGGACAATCCACATTATCATCTCTTTGTTCTTTGTCCCCTTCCAGCTTCCTGTAATGAATGATCGATTTCACTGTGTGTTTGATCATGTCTCTCCCCCCATCCCAGGCACACTGCAGACTGGGGTGTCTCGGCGATGTCTGTCTGTACATTTGCTAGCACAGATTGGCCTCGCTCTTATACCCACCTTTCTTTCCCAGCAGATAAAGCACCACAGCCAGCACCAGCACGGCAGGGACTGTAATTCCCAACAGGAGCTTTAGAGCCGGCCCTAGGAAAGAACCTCGCTGTGAATGGCCCCTCCAAGTAGACACCGAATAGTCCCTCCTTGCTGGCACTGGCTGAGACTTGTAAGTGACCCCAAATGTCATCATAAACATACCTAGAAGCCTATCCCCCCAGATACTTGCAAGGTGATATTATTGTCTATACTTTGTGAGTAAAGTTAGCTGAACTTTTTCTACTGTTTGTTGACCCAACATTTTTTCCATCTTAAACCAAATTAATTTGAATAATTTTTTCCCTCACAGAATTTATATGCAAAGACCTTCTTCATTTTTCCTCAAAAATTATTTTGAAATGAAAGATGGTGTTTTGTTTAATTTTGAATGGAAATTTTTGATTCCTTTTGGTTTTCAAAAATCAGAA